TGTTTGTTTGTTTTATTCTGTTTTTGTTAAGCATGTTGTCTTAGTGCAAATTTGATTCCTATGAGAAATTGTAACACAACAGGTTAGTCTGCATGGCTGAAGCAAAGCAGCTTCAAGTGGTAACTGTAAAGTTTCATTTTGAAAAACATCTTTTTCTGTGAAAAAAGTAAAATCCTGGAACTCGCTACCTGATCATTTGAAGCTTACTGCAAACTTCACCTCTTTTAAGAAAGCCACCAAATCCTGGTTAGTTCAGCATCAGACTTGTTCTCATGTTTAATTGTTTGTAGCTTTATCACAGCTGAATGTGTGGCTAACTGCATATTGCTGTATCCAGTTTACTCTTCCCTTTTCCCTTTAAACTGTTTTAATCTTTTATTTACACAAAAGACCTTTTAGGGATGAGTGTTGCCAAATTAGCACCCGTTACAAACACTATGATACTTGCATTGGATAGCTGTTTTAAGTTTGTCTATGTATACTGTATCTGTTCCTATCAAATAAACCATTTAATAAATAAAATGTAACCTATAATTGAACATAATAAACATTTATACTGCATTTAAAGAAAAGCAACATATAGTTCAACTTTTGAGACTGACTGTAAATACGCAGGCAACTACTGTTAAGTCTGTAGATGTAGGAAATAAATAATAACAATAATAAAAAGAACAAGCATGGACGTATCAATGCATACTTTGTCAACTTAAACTAACAACATGTTTTAACACAGTGACATGACATGGTTATAGTGTGGTTTTTTACGGTATGTGGCCGACATGTTTTCTTATCCACACAGATTCAGAACATGTAGTTAAAACCTTTAATGGGGATCCAATGTAAATAAATAAATAAATAAACCTTGCCATGTAGCCCAGATGTTATCTAAGCTTAATTGACCCATTCATGAAAAGCTCAAACTTGAAAACACACGGCTGTGGACGAGTTTGAATTAATACTGGTGCTCAATTTACAGACATTTACAGAGTCAGCAGGATGCATGGCATGCACCTCTGTAGATATGCTATAGATCAGATGTTCCTAACCTATTTTTCTAGGGGTCCCCTAAACTTATATCTATAAAAGCTGAGCCCCCCAGGACAAACATGAGAAAAAAGCTGATACTGCGTTTACAAATTATTGATAAATTGTTGTAGTTTTCATGGAGAAAATGTGATCAGAATATGCCTATACACACTTATTCTTACCAAAAGACCTTTGTATACATTCCCCAGTAATATCTAAACATGATTTTATTCAATATCTCATTTTGAAAACCTCAGAGCAGACACCCCCTAGGGTGACACGGACCCCAGGATGGGAACCAATGAGTATGAATGCATGTGTCCTGTTTGATAATTCCTAGTTTTGCACATTCGTGTTTGAAACGCGCACACACACACACACACACACACACACACACACACACACACACACACACACACACACACACACACACACACACACACACACACACACACACACACACACACACACACACACACACACAGATTAATCGCCAAAGATAAAAAGGTATCCGCAGGCTTCTTGCCAAAGTTTGGATTTAAAGTAAACATGATGATTTCTGACTGAGCTGGTGATAATTATGATGATGGTGTTAGAGAAAGGGATTAGTTTAAATGTCAACAGCCAGTCTATATGATTTCAATGTCAGTACTTGTTGAAGATACTTTTATGAGTGAATCTTTGACAATAACAGCAGGATGTAATTTTATCAGACAGCCAGATAAGAGACAATTTCAGGGTTTAGAGTGCTGTTGTCTGCGTGCTGCAGGCTATGCAAAGAGGGCAGGTCAGGAAAATGACACTGCATCTCATGTACACAGCATGAGCCGCGGCAAACATCAGAAAATCTCATCAGTCTAATGGAAGCAGTGAACTCTCACCCTGGATGCGAGGCAGGAGGGGTGGGGGTGCAGGGATAGTGGCGGAGGCTTGTGTGTGGGGGAGGGCTCAGGCCAAGCACCCAACTCACGCTCTCAAATCATAGGCTAAACGCTTGCCAGGCGATGCAGTACTGTTACAGGATTGTGTCTGGTCTCTTTTTATTTTCCTTTCTATATTTGATGTGTGGGGTTTTAGCTCCCTCAGACCACACAGCCTGCTGAGCTAGAGGCCAGAACAACCACATATAACCAGACACTGCACTCTGCTGGTCAAAAGACTACACAACATATGAAAGAGATGATTTACAGAGAGTGGGAAATCAATTCATCCCTTTTTCTTAGCAATGCATCAAAAAAGACAAAACATACATTTAAGGATTAAGGCCCCTACGTTTGCTTTATTTTAAATGTTAACGTGCAGTTTTAAGGTTTTTAATGAATATATAAGTAACCACTACTTTGTTTGAAATTCACCTTTTCACACAACCAGGTCACAAAATGACTTTAAATTAAAGGAAAAAATAATCTTTTAGAAAAACACTAAAAACAGCCTCCAGCAAGTAAGCGTCCCTCACAGCTGACATAATAAAAGAAGAGCTCACCCAGAGAAGTTATTTTTATGTTTTTTCACTCTATGGTTCATGTTAATCCAAAATGAAGGTGCATGGATAATTGGTAAATAGCTTGTATGGCGCTTTTCTAGTCTTCTGACTACTTAAAGTGCTTTTTACACCGCAGGTCACACCTACACTGATGGTAGAGGCTGCTGTGTAAAGTGACCATCAGTATGAATCCATCCATCCATTATCTATTGCTTATCCCAGTTGGGGTTGCAGTTCGGGGATTCGAACCAGGAACCTTCTTGCTGTGAGGCACCATTGCTTACCATTGCACCACCGTGAAGGCCCCAGTGTGACCTAATCCCATATATTTATATACATATATAATACAACTAAACTAAACTCAAATGTATGGAGCCCCTGATGCCCCAAAAAGTTAAAAAAAAAAAAAAAAGTAATAAAAATATAATATATAATAATTATTATTATTAAAGATTTTTTTTTTTTTTTTTTACTTTTTTGAACTTCAGGGGCTCTTTAAAAATGTATTTACAGTGTATACTATCTTTCATACATATTTTGCTGCTGCTTAGTAATGGGAAAAAAATGGGATGAACAAAATTAGACAGTAAAATAAAATTAAAAAAATGTATTCACCGCTGTTAAATAGTCGACTTAGCTTTTTAGTTTAGAATAAAGTTGGCAAGTTTTGGTTTGATTATCCAAGTGTTCAATCAGTGGTGCAAGAGTTGGAGCTACGCAGTGATGTACCCTAAAATATATTAAAAGATCTTTCATCTAAAATCTTTCATCTTTAATTCAATCCTGAATTGATGTGACATCTACAAGTCTTTTTAATAGCCAAGAGAATTGGAAATGTTTTTGTAACATGTGCTGTTTAGATTGTCTTTTAGATGAAGCCTTTACTCAAATGTTACGACTACAATACTATATAAAAATACAAATATAAATCAAACTCTACTGGAGTTATACATGTTGACAAATTACTGTGTGGCAGGGAGCTGTTTTCCTCTGTAAATGTTGTGTTTTAATGCTTACTGTCAAAATGATATTGGTTTGTGTGCAGTTTCAGTGGGATCACTTAATAACTTTAGGATTATTATTTATATGGATTCATTTACATTATTTTGTTTGTATGGCCTGACTAAATACTGAATATCTGAGGCACCTACACTCCACTATTTCCCCAAGTAACATTATCCAAAGCAAATGATCTAATATTATATCTTTATATTTAGTCTTTAAAAAACACCTGTTTCATTTGAATGTCTTTTGGAGACCTTGATGAAGACCACAAACTGAAACGTGGCAGTCTAATAAAGTTAAATGTGTTGCTGGAGCTTTCTGACCTCTTTAAGACTTTTTCTCTCTCCATGCTGCTCCCTGGAAGACGGTGATGTTTTCTCCTGCAGTCATTTAAACCTCTTAAATTGAAATCACGCAGGATTCATAAGCTCTAAGCATATATGAACTCCACACTGCACTTTATTGAAGTAGCTACTTCAAATCCCTTAGGCTACATTGTAATCATGTAATGCTTTAATGATATATCTGTGTGTCTGTCTCCATTGGGCAGAAATGTCATCCCAGCCTTTCTTCCTCTGTCCACACAGTACAACAACTATTACATGATTGAAAACAGATGTATTTCAGCAGTTTTGTGAAGTCAAAGTGGGGTCACAAGCCAAAAAAGGTTGGGAACCATGGACTAAGTTATGCCAGTGTATTCAGTTCAAAATAAAGTTATCAATACTGCAATGATGGTACACATCTCACCCCAGACACTGTATGTTCACCACCCTTCCCTCAGGCAGACTCAGGACCATTCGCACATGGACAAACACACTAAGAAACTGCTTCTTTCCCAGAGCTGTGGACAAATATTACATAATAACAATATTACTTGTGCAATAACTTTGTAATTCACTGCTTTACAATTGTTTATTTATTCTTCATTGCAATAAAACTGTTTATTTACTCATCCAGTCACTGCACAATAACAACTGTATATATTCTTTCACTGCACTATAACTTCAATTATTTGCACTATATCTCTCTATATATATTTGTTTACCTAATCAGTCACTGCACAATAATAACTGTAGCCTATATATTCTTTTCAGTCACCACAACTGTCTATTTATGTATTATTATTATTATTATTATTATTCATTCACTGAACAGCAAATGTTCTGGCCACTTTTCACAAACATATTTGTCTTCATATCACCACAAATATATTTTTATATAGGTGAACTGTTTTTGTAAACGCTGCTGTATATGAAGTTTCGTTGTGTCCTTGTATACAATGATAATAAATATTATATCTATGATCTAGTGTGGGAAAGTCATTTTCTATCCACTTCTGAGAGGCTTTCATGTTGTACGGTACATTTCAGCGTCTCCTTGATTAAACAGAGACAAACTGAGCAGGTATGTGTCGCAAATAGGCAAAGCGAACCTTTCTACCTGAGGCTGTTTGTGTTTAGTGTTGACTTATCTACACTCAACTTAACTGCCGAAGAAGAAGTCGTGTATGTCACGTGACACGTTTAGCCGGGTTAAACTTCCTGTATTTAATTCAGTCTATTTTCTCTAACATTGCACCGTGAATACAACACGTCGACAGTGACATAGTTGTCTTAACGCTGCCCGAGTGACGAGTTGATCAGGAAACAAACAGGTGAGGTCAGGACACTCGTCTGCTGATGCTACATGCTCATGCTATCTGTATTTACAGTGTGACAGCTGTGACACGGAACACTTCTCTTCTTACTACATTTATTGTTTTATTGTTTTGTTTTTCAGCGTGTGCAGGTGAGCTTTCATATTAGGTGGTTGAGGTCGTACCTTCACTAAACACCTGGTCGCCATGGCTAACCTGCTGTCAATGAAATGCCTTTCCTCTCTGAAGAAATCTGGAAACATAAAACATTTAAGGTCCGCAGCTGTGAGCATCGATAAACGAAACTACAGCAGCAAACATGGAGAGTATCTGCACCAAAGTGTTGTCCCCTCGATGCATTACCAGAAGAGTTTACCCAGGTAAGAGACGACAGTGGTTTAGCATTTGTTTTTATTAATTTAAACCCTCACATTTAGTTTCATTGTGCATAGCTTCGATTAAATAAATGTAAACCACACAGAAATATGAAATGGCTGCAGGAAGGTGTTGTACAAATAAAGAAGGTGACCCATCAAGCTCTTAGATGAATGTAGGTGAAAGTGCACACTTTAATTTTTTATCAATGGCCACTAGGGGGCCGTGACAGCACCGTGCATCTCTTTTATTAGCATGGGAAACAAATGTTTACATTATCAAAGTTAAAATAAAAGTAAAACACTAAATGAAGTACGGTTAAAGCATAACACAAATTAAATATTAAAGGAACAGCTGTGTAGGTTTACAGTTTTATAGTGTGTGTGTGTGTGTGTGTGTGTGTGTGTGTGTGTGTGTGTGTGTGTGTGTATAGAGATAATTAGTGTGTGTATGCATTCATATTCACTTAAATAATTAGTGTGTTTTATCTACAGAGATTTTAAGTACAGATGATGGTGACACACAGAACCTTAGACTGTCTTGTTTGTGGCGGTTTTGAGCTCTTTTCCGGTCATCTGTATCTTTTTGTATCAGACTGAAGACTCAGTTTGTATTTCATTGTTAGGCTTCCCATTCCCAAACTGGAGGATACCATCAAGAGGTATTTAGCTGCCCAGAGGCCTCTGTTGGACGATGAGCAGTTCAAGTAAGTTTTCTGAAGTCGGAGAAAAATTAATTGTATTGTTTATATATTGACTAATTATTTCTATAATTTTAAAAGCTTATAAGAACTTTTTTTTATTGTGTTTCCTCAGAACAACAGAGAAACTTGCACAGGATTTCCAGCATGGGGTGGGAAAACAGATGCACGAAGAACTGGTAGCTCAGGACAAAAACAACAAGCACACAAGCTACATCTCAGGTAGGGCTGGGCGATTCATCGAGTTTTAATTTCAATCACGATGGCTTCCAACGATCATTGAAACACGATGGTCGAGGTTAAATGGTTCCTGTGCTGCATGCCGTAGATGTTTCAAAGCCTTTGTTATATTTCGGCCTCAAGAGTTCATCACCACTACCTCAGAATTATTTCTTGTTTTTCAAAGTGTTCTGAATGTGAGAGTGTTAAGCTGTTTAAATTTGATGAATACATGTGATTGAGATGTTGTACAATCAATGAGAAATCAGGTTTAATATTTATGATCTAAATAGTCGTGATCATCTCTGATAAGCAACAAAGTAATTTGATCCTTATTGAATCTAGCTTCATATTTATATATTTTTTTTCCAGGACCGTGGTTTGACATGTATCTTTCTGCACGCGACTCTGTGGTGCTGAACTTCAACCCCTTCATGTCCTTCAATCCCGACCCCAAGACGGAGTACAACGACCAGCTCGTGCGAGCCACCAATATGGTGTGTTCGGCAGTGCGCTTCATGAAAACACTGCGAGCTGGAATACTGGAGCCGGAGGTTTTCCACCTTAATCCAGCAAAGAGCGACACAGACGGCTTTAAGAAGTTAATCCGCTGGGTCCCGTCTTCCCTGTCTTGGTATGGAGCGTACATGGTAAATGCGTACCCCCTGGACATGTCTCAGTACTTTCGCCTCTTCAACTCCTCACGGATTCCCAAACAGGGGCGAGATGAGCTCTTTACTGACGACAAAGGGCGTCACCTCCTCGTTATGAGGAATGGCAACATGTATGTGTTTGACATTGTGAACAGGGATGGAAATTTGGTGAGCCCCGCAGAGATCCAGTCCCATTTGAAGTACATTTTGTCCGACCCGACACCGGCAGCTGCTTTTCCTCTTGGTGTCCTAACAAGTGAGAACAGAGATGTGTGGGCGGGGCTGAGGGACAAGCTGGTATCTGCTGGAAATGCAGAGGACTTACGGGTTGTTGACAGTGCCCTCTTCTGTCTCTCTCTGGACGATGAAAGCATGAAGGACCACATTCAGATCTCCCACAACATGCTGCACGGTGACGGCTGCAACCGCTGGTACGACAAGTCCTTCAGCATCATTCTGACCAAAGATGGACAGGCAGCCATAAATTTCGAGCACTCCTGGGGCGATGGTGTAGCTGTGCTTCGCTTTCAGAACGAGATCTTCAAAGACACAACAGAGAAGCCCCTGGTTCACCCGGGCTCTGCCCCCGCTGCAGTGGATTCAGCCTCAGCTGTGCGCAGACTGCAGTTCAAGCTGGACAGTGAGCTGGAAGATGGCGTCAAGAAGGCCAAGGAGAGTTTTGATTCAGCTGTGTCAAAACTCACCATCGATGCCATGGAGTTCAAGAAAGGTGGGAAGGAACAATTAAAGAAGAGCAAGTTGAGTCCAGATGCGATAGCCCAGCTGGCTTTTCAGATGGGCTTCTTGAGGCAGTATGGACAGACAGTGGCCACATACGAGTCCTGCAGCACTGCAGCGTTCAAGCATGGCCGCACAGAAACCATCCGACCCGCCACCGTACACACAAAACAGTGTGCACATGCCTTTGTTTGTCAGCCTGGACAACACAGTGTGGAGCAACTGCGGGGCATGCTCAGCGAGTGCTCTAAATATCACGGGCAGCTCACCAAGGAAGCAGCTATGGGTGAGTAGAACTCATTACTTCACAATACATTTATTTACCAAAAGAAAGTTTAAATTAAGTTTTTGGGTTCTGTTTCGAAACACATGCTCTGAATTAGACACCCTTTGTTTGCAGTGATTGTACTTTAATGTCCCTTCCCTGTTGTCCATTTTATAAGGTGCTTTGGTTATTTATTAACAGGAAAGCATATATCTGGAGTCAGTTATCTTGATTCATGGTTGTGAAGTGCCTCCCTAGTAGAGGTGGGGTGGGGGGGGTATCGTGATGTTTTGTGTGGCAATATTATGTCGTGTCATGGCCGCCATGTATAGATATTTTTATTATACAAATAGTACATATGCTTTTTTTTTTACATTTTAATAGCTGAATGGGTGCACTAATTCATTTTGAACAAGCTTCCTTGTTAAAAATTCAGGTTCAAGTTGGATTAGACTAAAATACTAACAGTTTAGATTGTGAGGTGCATGCAGCTTTTTACAGGGTTTGACTTTTATCACAGTGTTGGTCCGTCTGTGGGCTTGCCTCCCATTGTATAGATATAAAAAGACTGAGAATGTTCTTATTTGACCAAACAGTTCTTTATTTAGTTTAATTTTGTGGACATAAAATGCAGTTAAAAAAATTCAATCCCAACATATTATATCGCAATTCTCAGCATGTCACAAAATGTTTAAAATCGCAATAATATCGTATCCTGACTGAAGTATCGTTATAATATCGAATCGTGGGTTCTCTGATAATTCCCACCTGCACTCCCTATTAGTAATATCAAATCCATAGCATGATCTGATGGCTAAGCCTGAATTTACTCCTAACAGCACTTTAGAAGTATAACCTCGCAATCAAATCAGAACTCCCAGATTTCTGTATCTTGAAGGTACAAAATGTTGATCATGTTATTTTGTTGTGTTCATGTGAATTGTTTAATTAAGATCAGAGAAAATGAATGTATAGCATCTTAATTATTTTACCTGCACGATGTTTAAAGAACTTAAGGAGTTTCAGTACAAAATGAAAAGAGGAAGTTATTTTAGACAAACGGCTCTGAAAAAACACAAACACGCACTGTTGTCTTTTGTACTTACCGCTTCTCTTCTCTGACCAGGTCAAGGTTTTGACCGCCACTTGTTTGCCATGCGATATCTGGCCAATTCAAAGGGTCAGGCTCTGCACAGTCTGTATGCAGACCCAGCTTACACCGCCATCAACCACAACATCCTCTCTACCAGCACCCTCACCAGTCCCGCTGTGAACCTGGGCGGCTTTGCCCCGGTGGTGCCTGACGGCTTTGGTGTCGGCTACGGTGTCCATGACGACTGGATCGGCTGCAACGTGTCCAGCTACCCAGCTCGCAACGTCCACGAGTTCCTGCAGTGTGTCCACAAGTCTCTGGAGGACATTTTCTCTGTGGTGGAGGGAAAAGCACTCAGCTAAAAAAAAAAACAAGTGTTTGAGATCACCAAAGAGGGAAAATAATATCTACAGTAGTTTTACAGAAGAGTGAAGGTGAGCGTTGCTATCCTTCTTAGCCATCAGATTGTCTTTTAACTTATCTGAGAAAGCATACAGAAAGTAAGTTGAATATTTTTGAAACACAAGTAGAAGCTTAGCGATATAGGATGGGATTTAAAACACATTGTTAGCAGCAGTTTGGATTTTAATGTAACTGTAAAAAAAAATAAAGAAACAGCACGTATTGTGTTATCTAAAATAGCATTTAACATCACAAATACATCTGTGGGAGTCATGGTGCGTTCCATTTGATCTCAGAAGTCGGGAATTCAGAGCAGTCTAAAAAGTCATCAGGAACCCCCTCCTGAAGTCAGAATCCCGACTTGAAAACTGAGAACCTTCAGTTGCCTGAGTAAAAATCCAACATGGCTGCTACGTGCATCAACAGTATTTTAATCTGTACACTGTTGTTTATTGGCAACGTAGTCTTGTTTCTAGGTTAATCAAATCAATCACACTAATAATATTGTGCAAGTATCACGTACTGTGTCTTATCGCCTGGTAATAACTTGCAATACAAAGGTACTCTTGCAGGCGTCCATGTTGCTTGCCTGACTTTTTGCTAAATCACCCCTGGAACGCAGTACGCTCAGGTGTGATGTCATTCCCAGTGCCGAGATCAATGGTAAATGGAATGCACCATCAATGTAACAACCATGCCCACTCTGAAAACAATGCACAGCAGACTGAAAGAAAGTGCTGACCGCTCTCATGGAATATTCTGAGTGCTGTAAATATTTATACTGCAGTAGAGCTTTTTGAGATTTAGAGCAGGAATCATTGCAGTTCATCGAGGGGAACAGATGCTGTGCCTTATGGAAATGTGAATATTTAAATGAGCGTTTGCTGATCGTGACTTTAATAAATACTGATTGTCATCTTCATTTAAAGCCTCTTTGATGTGAATGTCTTTTGAAATAAAACTTAATTTAATTGTATTTGCTTCATTATATCGTTGTCATCAAGAAGTAAGAAAATGCCTTCATTAGATAATAAAGCTATTTTATATAAAATCATCTTTGCAGTAGCTGTTAAACCCTGGGTGTTGATACCAGCAGAGGACAAACTTCATGAATATCTGAGACAAATGGTGTTTTTTTCACTCTTTATTTAAAATAAAAAAAACAGTTCCACCAAAAGCAAATGTACAAATGCGGTAGTCAACAACAGAAACATGAGCTAAAGTAATTAAAACAAACAGAATCCACATTTAGATGGGCTTGATCTTGAAGTGTAGGCCGATGAGACTGAAGACGAGACATTTCAGATCTTGCACCAGGTAGTAGAACACACGAAGACCTTCAGGGTCCCTGAAACAACAACGTTTTAAACAGTTAGGCCACTATCAACGCCGTCCATGTATTACTTTAGCCCAAGTTCTACACAAATACATTACTCACTTTGACTGGTTGACGTCAATCAAGGAGCCAATTTTGGAAGTTGTGAATGAAATGTGCTCATCTCCAATGACGATCTCCAGTTCCTTTAAAAAAACAATTACAATATTTCTTAAGGCTCAAATGTTTTCAGACAAACTATTCACTGCAAAGTCAATTTACTTAAGTTCAGGTGTTGACCTTAAAGTCTGAGACTTCATGTGCATGTTATAAAAATGAAGAAACAAAAATTGATAGGCATTTTTTGAGCGCAAACTTTTTTGTTGTTCTAGGAACCCTCCCCCTTTTTAGTGATTCTGCACCGCAGGAACTATGGACTATTTAGTTCCTAGGAACCTGTTATGAGGAACCTTTTCAGCTCCTGCTTCAGAGTAGGTGCTCTCCCAGCACAATGGCGGTGTGAAGGCTGAAAAAAAAAAAAAAGTCTCCATGTTGAGGAACTACCCACTAGGGAGTTCCCTAACACCTACTCTTCCCCATTTAACTCTTCCCCCAATCCCCAGAACTGTTCGGTCCGAAAACACCAATTAAGTCATGACATGTGGACGAACATTAAATACTTTATAACGCCACTAGCCTGAGAAGTAAAATCATAAGGTGCTGAAGGGAACTCTACAGATAAGGTAATAAATACTATATGAAATTAAAACAAGAAAGACAACAGATTAAAAATGCAGTATCTTCTACTCAGTGTTAATAAACGGGGTCACAAACCTGTCTGCCAACACGGTCAGGAGGCGGCCACAGTGCATCGTCTTCCTTTGTGATCTCACTGTCGTCAATGATCCTCTTCAGCTCCTCCATCACACTCTTGTGTACGTAAGCCTACGTTAGTACAGACGAGAAGGAGGAAAACTGGTTACACTTTGTGAATGTGAGGAGAAGAAGCACACTTTACTTCACAGACAGGAAGTGAGAACTGGTTCATTTATACTGCTTCTTTTAAACTCAAGGTTGTGTTGTAATGAAGAATTAATCTCACTACTCTCCAATCGACACTATCAAGCCCCTGAAAGAATCACAGCGATTAAACCAACGCTAATTAAAATTCAGTATTGCATGTTGGAATCTGCAACCAAGCACAAATCTGGTTATGTTCTTCATAATTTGGATTACTGCTCTTAAACTAACGTCTTTTTTCTCCTCTTTTCATTTTTTAAGACAGCTACGGTCTTTTAACAATCGTATCTGTGCACCTTTTATCACACTGTTGTTGTTGCTGCCAGTGCCTTGTTCTTTGGTGTGGTGTACTCACACAGCAGGCAAAAGCAGATTAGACGCATTAGTAAGATGAACAACCTTTGAGAAATCCTGCACACCCACTACTACACACCCTTGAGATGATACAACAGAGCACATTAAGTCTCAGGTGGATCACCCTGAGGTGCAGGACTGAACGTTACAGGAAGTCCTTTCTCTTAGCTACCAATGTGTTTTTTAATGAGGAATAAAATACATGAATACAGCTGTGTTCAGGACAGTTGAAGCAGCACACATTTATTCATAAACACACTTGTAGGTGTAGATTTTCCTTTGTCTTCTTTATTCTTTTATCTTTACATGGATGATTTTTTTTTAAACTAACAACATTTTGCACACTTGGTATTATTTGCACGGTGAATGTTAATCACGTTTCTTAGATATCAGCACACAATGATTCTTACATTTAAGTTATTTTCTTTAAGTTTGGTTTTGACAGTGTTTGATTCCTGCAAGGACACAGTATCTACTTGTGCTGAGCTAAGTCTTCAAGTTTTATTTCAGTCACTATTTTGGCTTCTCACATTCATGAAAAGATAATCGAGATGAAATGTTTACTGTAAGCCCTCGTTTTGTCATGTCTGGTTAATGTTAAAATGTGTTTGTTGTTATATTCAAGCAACATTGTGTTCATCATCACTACCTCAAACACATAGTTTATTTTATTCATGTTTTAAACTTAATATTATTTAAAATGGTTTCTCATTATTTATTATCATCTTTTCTTTGTTTGCGTTGTTGAAGTGTTGAGTGTTTGAGTTTGATAAATACATGTGATGCAAATGTTGTGAAATCAGAGTAATCGTGTTTAATAATCCTGATCTTTATATCAATATAACAATCGTGATTATAATTGTTTCTATAATCCAGCAGCCCTGATATCTCTCCACCAAACAACATGGACCTCCACTGACTACCTTTTAGAGGAAACAAACACATCAGAAAACATATATATATATATATTAACTTCTTACCTCTTTTCTAATCATGACGTCATTCTTGTAGTTGCTGTTATTCGCATACCTCAGTTTACCTGAAAGAAATCATTCAATCTGTATCAGAAATGTGAAACAATGCTGGAGCGAAACACATGAGTTCACTCGTCTCCACACATGGTTCAATCAGGTTAACACGGTGAAGCATAATACATCCATACGCTTTAACTTAGTGTGTATAAAGTACCATTAACTTCCTCTGAGTAGCAATTTTTATTTTATTTTATTAATGCATTGTAAATCAGATGTTTCGTATTTGGCGCTAGTAACTCTTTTTGCGGCCTAGCCTCTGCCGGGTGGCTAATGTTAGCTTGCTTAGCTCAAACGCATGAAACAACCTACACGTCCGGGTTACCGCCAAACTAGACTCACCATCTGGTCTGAATTCAAATTCCAGGAACTCGTGTCCAAACTTTCCCTTGTGTCCGACATAATACTCAAATAAAAGTCACTTGTGGACATCTTTACTTCCCAGAAAATACCTCTTTCTGGTCAAGTTTTCGGGACAAAACTGAGCTAACAAGAGCAGCTAAGATCCTCGATGACCGTGTGCGCATGCGTACAAGGCATCTAAGACCCGAGGCATCGGTGCCCTGAGTTTTGTCTTTCAGGAAGTACTGTGCGCAGGAGTACTAGGGTTAGGGCATAGACTGTAAATAGGGTCACATTACGGGTGAAAAAAAATCTGCGTGTGGCACTCCCAGCAGAGGATAAAACGGCCTCTGTTATAAACTATTTAAAGTCTATGGTTATAAACAGTGACAATGTAAGACTCTATTTTTAATTTAGTTTACCTAAAAAATGGACATTTTGGATATGCACATCAAATTCCCCTGCTTGACTTCAGGAGTAGGGATAGGGATTGTTATAAAATTTACATTAGCCACAAAAGAGGAGCAGATTTGACCATTTCAACCAGTCAACAGACTACAGAGGGAGAAATCTACATAGTGATGCATTTTGAGGGAACTATTCCTTATAAAGCGGTGTTGTTGGAATTGTGTTACAAAGCAATGCACTGGTGTAGGCCTACTACCTCTGAATGTTTTTTGCCTGTAACAAACTACATAATGCATTGGTTTTTGCAATACAAGTATCAATTATTATTTAGAAGTGGGTATACTGTACCTTTTGTGGAGACTGAAAAATAAGTGGGTATACTCTGTATACCTGCATATATCCTGCACTACACCACTACTGACTGATTACTTTTGTTTTTCAAAATAACATTGTGTCTCTTGGGCAAACATCCATTCCAAGTAATATGTCTCTGACTAACTAATATATCTGTCAAAAATGTAGTGTATGCGTTCTTTTTTTTAATTTAGCCTATTAAGTTATCTGGTTTTGGTATGATTATTAACCTTTTAGCCCCTGTTATTGTTCATCTTTAATATTTATTGTTTCTTAAATCACCTGTTCGTGTCGGGGTAAAAAGCTGCCCACGTCTGTATATTACAAAAATAAAATGCAGTCTCAGAAAGATTTGTGCCTGAATACCTCTACCCAGGGAATTATGAACACGACGATTAAGTCGCATATTATTGACGTCATCCCTGCCCGCAGCGAGCACTAGTAGTTCTGACTGTACTGCACACGTGTGGTGGTTATAAAGTTTTACCCATGGCAGGATCATTTTCTCAGGAGCTCGAGGATTTGTTGAATCCTTTGCCCAAATTTGCCGACCCCGAGGATGACCAGGACGAGGCCACCAAAGCCAAAGTGGTAGAACAATTCAACGAGGACGAAGACGACGAAGATGGGGTCGGCCACAGCGCCCTGCGGAAGCACAACACATCCCTGCTCTCAGAAACAGACCGTCGGTATGTGGGGAAGAAAATCTCTCGTAAACAGCTGCTTATGGATATTGATGGATCTGGTGAGGAGGAGGATGAAGAGGAGGAGGATGGCAGGCTAAAAGAGCAGGAAGAAAATGAATCTATGGGCGATGAAGAGGCAGAGGAGGAGGAAGAAGATGATGAGGAAGGTTTGGTGGACAGTGATGCACACATGAGCTTTCCTCAGGGAGTGGACTTCCACAAACTGACAGAGGGCATGGATGACCTCGGAGTTAGTGAGGAAGACGATGAGAGCGGAGGTGAAACAGAAGGCAGTGATGAAGTTGAAGGCTCAGAAGACGATGATGATGATGATGATGATGATGATGATGAAGACGGCGAGGGAGTCGTCCGCACCTTCTCCCAGGACAAAGTGGACGAGGAGGTCGAGAAAGGAAAGGCTGTGAAGAACCAGCTGGCCCTGTGGGACCATCTGCTCGAAGGTCGGATCAAGATCCAGAAAGCTCTGGTGACCGCCAACCAGCTTCCCCAGCCGGAGACTCTCCCAGAGTTCAAGAGCAGGGGCGGAGCTGAGCTCGCCGGGGAGCTGAAGAACGCCCACAAAGCTTTGAAGGCTCTTCAGAGGTCCCTGCTGGAGCTGCATGATGACCTGCTGCACCAGAACACAGACACCCGGAGCATCGCGGTGGGGAAGACGGGAGCTCAAGGTGACGACGACGAGGAGATACACAGTGAGGAAGATGAGGAGGAAGAGGGGTCATCTCGGGATAGTGGAGCACCGAAACGTAAACTTGAGATGGCGGAGTATCCAGACTTCATGGCCAAGCGTTTCGCTGCTTTCCAGCCTTACCGTAACGCCACGCTGCAGAAGTGGCACGACAAAACCAGATTGACGATGGGCAAAAGCAGCAAGGGCTTCGGGGCGTTTGACAGAAACATACTGACACAGGTGGAGCAGGTGCTGATGGACAACGAGAGGCTGGTGAGGCGGACTCAGACCCGCCGCTCTGAATACAGAGTCCTGGGGAAAAAAGAGGCCTCGGCTCTCTCGTCTGAGACTGTGTTTAACGAAGACGGGGAAGAGGCGGGACAGCAGCTGAAAGCAAACACGCATCTAAAAGATCTGGATGAAGACATATTCGATGATGACGATTTCTACCACCAGCTGCTAAGAGATCTGATCGAGCGCAGGACCAGTGCCGCGGACCCCAATGACCAAGTGGCCATGGGCAGACAGTGGCTGGCCATCCAGAAATTACGCAGCAAGATAAAGAAGAAGGTGGACACTAAAGCCAGCAAGGGGCGTAAAGTCAGATTCCACATCCACAGTAAACTGGTCAATTTCATGGCTCCTATGGATCACAGCTCCATGAGTGACGAGGCACGCAGCGAACTGTATCGCGGCCTCTTCGGTCACAACTCCACAGCCAGGGAATGAGGTGACGTAAATGACAGGACAACAACAAATCAGTGCCTTTCTTTTTTCTTTGTTCGCTGACGCGGGGGATAATGCAGAGCAGCATTACGGGTTAGGACTTAAGACGAGGCCTGCTGTCAGTATGGTGCTGTGACATGGCAGAATATAAACTCATTGGGCTCACACAGTTGTTAAAAAATACCTCTGTAATGGGATTTCAGCATGTGTGTTGAGTATGTGTGTATGTGACCAATTTGTAAAGAAATATGCAATATGAGTGTTTCCACCCAAACAAATCTCTTGAGTGTTAAATGGAAGAAGTACAATAAATGTAAACGTTTGGTCTTGTCACAAAAACTCATGAATCAAGTGAAGTTTTACATCAAAGTGTAAAGTTTTTTTTTATATATATAAAGTTGATTGTACAACATAATATACAGTAGTTATCTTTACAGGTAAGGTTTTGCATTTTAGTATGCAACAACTGTGATTCCTTCATTGCTTTATGCTAAGAGGAAAAAATCAATACTGGCACATTAAGGCAGTTAATATTTTGTTTTTGACTGCTAATGAAACCTGACATTAAATTAATTCACAAAAATAAGTGAGAGTTTTGTGTTTTTTATATCACTGATTGAATAGTTTCCTCCAGGAGCATAATAAAAGTCAAAGATTTAATCTTTATGCATACTTACTGAAGGTATGACTTGACTTCATTTTGAAACTTTTTCCAGTTTGAAAACCAGAAGCTGGTATGGGTTCAGGTCACTGCTTGAGATCTCATGCATGGTGGAGTCCAAAAATGTGACGGAGGTCATGAACTCCAGTCCTCTAAACGGGTCTTTTAACCCCTTCAGAAAAAACTACACCACACACTTAAAAGGAGTGGTCTTCATTTTTCTTCAGAGTTGATTTACAAACTTAATGATTACCTTATGGAATAGATAGTTTTATTTTTTAAATCAAGATTAAATGTCGGTAAACAATAGAAGATAAGCTACAACCATTAAAGAAACATTGATAACATAACATAATAATACAAATAAAACACTGATCATTTTAAGGAGCTGCACACGTTTTAGTGTCACACTACTGGAACACATTTTTTTAATGTTGCTATGTGGTTACCAGGTGGTCTAACCATCGTGTGGTTACTGTAGTGTATATGTCAAGACTTTTTTTTGTGAGCTCTTTCAGCGGTGCATCGATGTCAGTGCAGCAATAGTTAAAATAGCTAAGGCGTTAATTACAATAACAATTCTCTGCTGCATTCAAGTAACCAGTAAGATAAAGCACAAAACATTAGTGTTTTTGTAACTTTGCAAGATGAAGCCGTTTCAGGTGATTTCTACAGATCATTTAGCAGACTTCACGTCAGAGAGTAAGTACAACACAAGCAAAGATCCAGAGAGGAGGAAGCAACCTCAAGAACTTAGAGGAAGAATGTGCAACTTTTTGATCCAGTCGTGGTCACCCTCTGCTCTCCTCCAGCAACACACCTCCAACCCCCATCTCCTCACGTCAAGCTGCAGACAAAATTGTGCTTTGCTCCAGCTGCTATTGCCTCTGACCTGCATTGTTGTGTTAGCAGGCTAATGTTAGCACACTTGAGTCAGCTCGTAGCTTCACATTGCATGTAAATTTACACTGAATGACCATGAACTTAAGTTGCTTACATGACATTCAAATAAGCAGTGAGTATGTTATTCTTCTTCTCTCAAGTCCTTGACTAAAACAGCTTTTATAAACACGACTCTGACAACAAACACAGCCAAGCAGGAATCACACTTCTCACTCATTGTAGACAGTCGAGATGTGGATATTTACATAGGATTTACTTGATTTCTGCTAAACGCATGTGTAAAATGTCACACATTCTTCCTTTAAGAACAGCTTTAAGTCTGGTCGGACAGACAAAGCTTAAGATTTAGGTCTAACTGAACATTGTGTTTTAAATAATCTGATCTCAATTTAACTGTAAAAACACATCGTGTTTGAGGTCAACAGATGATGTTGTAACAGAAATGTAAACTCAAGAATTCAAATCGTACCTGAGAACTTTTATCATAAGAAAACGTTTTACAGGAAGAAAAGTCCACTGAACAACATTTAAAGAACACATGGACATGGTGTATCTCAGACGTGATGACATGTTACAGCTCAATGCATTTATTACCACCAGTGTCAGTGTGAAGTTTTACTTCTTTGAAATGAAACTTGCATACATTTGTGAATATGACGATTCAAGTCTGCGGGATTCTAAAGAAAAAAAAAAAAAAAAAAAAAAACTTTGTGGTAAATTCACAACACAAATTAATGCTCTTTATGCTACCAACATCTCACAGTAACGTCTGATTCATAAGAAATAAAAATAAATTCGAACTTTAAAGACAATTTGTCCACAGACAATACTGTTAACTCTTTGGTGATGTCATACATCACATGATTTGAGGTTGGAATCAGTTGTTTAATTTGACTCATTGGTTTTTTATTGAGTGACACGTGACAAAGCGAGAGCAGCATGACACAAATACATGTATCTCAATCCATTAAACATTACTTTAAAGTCCATATCAATGAGTCATAACAGGATTTTTAATAGAGCTTGAAAATAAAAAAAAAGACGTCATGTTGCATTGTTGTAGGAAACCAGTCAGGTTGTTGCACAGTGCACGCTCTAACATTAGTGAGGTAATGCCCTGTCATCAAACAGCACACTGCTTCTAAGCTTTTATTGTACCATTAAAGGCTGTCAAGTGATCGCATGTCTTCCAAACTACTTTACAGTACAGGTGCAGAGCTGTGGTAAAGGCAAGCAGTAGTTTAAATCAAATAACAAGTTAGCCCCTTAGTTTTTCTCTCCCTTTAATCTCATTCACAATGTAGAGAGAAAAATCAAACTGAAGACGTCTGTTTTAAACCGGCTCCACAAGCGAACAGATTCCCTTCATGTTCATTACCTCCGTCCAAACACAACCATGTCAAAAGATGGTCTTTTCACTTCTTAGCAAGAACCCCCAACTTGGTGAAGAACTCTTCACACGTATAGATGAGCCCTCCTTCAGAACCTGAGCTCAGTGGGGCCGGCTGCTGGACTCCATGTTTTGCGGCTTCTTTGTTGTTCCGTAACTGTTGAACCAACCGTTCAGCCGTTTGGTCAGACCTCCGTTTAGAATATCCTGGATGTGTTGGACTATGAGATTTATGGCAACTGTAACGAGAAACAAAGACGCCTTGTGGTCAGCGTTTACCCCAGTTTAGAGTTATTTACATGGAGCTTCAGGCTCTAGTGACTTATAAGGAACTGCAGTTTTATGGAATTTTGGCTTTAGCTTCGTTTAAAAAAAAAAAAAACCTTCCGGGTTTTTTCCGTATTAATACTGCCCTAGCAACAGCTTTGTAGATATGCCAATCTACCAATTTGTTCCAGACTGAAACATCTCAACAGGTACGCAGTTTGCTGTGGAAAGTTGGAATGTTGTAACAACAGCAAAAAACAGCGTTGATGCTACGCAGAAGACTTACAAAGTTATATTTGAGCAAAAAGTTGATGTGCAATACGTGAATTAATACTTGAGCAGGTGTTCATGTGCATTTTACAACTCGGAAACTTGTTTTTCCGATGTGTCCGACACCACGTGAATGCAGTGTTCAAAATCTCCTCATTTACATTTAATCTGTTATTTGACAAATACCTGCAATAATACTGACTAACCTATTAGACAGAGCTGTAGTTCCTTCATGTTAGAGAGCATCCTTACATGATAAACTATAATGATGACAATGATCAACATGGATTGTAAGCATTAAGCATTTTAGTGTTAGTATTTACCTTAAAGAAACAGTCTTTATCTACTTCCTCTCAGTTAACAGAGCAGAAGGCTTTAATATAGTTGGAGTATCAACTGAAGTTTTTCTTTTGACCTTCACTTTTTTAATCAACAAAGCCGTCTCTCAGGGTCTGTTTTTTTTCCTCCGCTTTAAGAGCTCGATTCCCAGATCTGAGGTCAACAATAAACACAGCTGTGTCCTTTGGGATATCTCTGTTTTGACGAGTGTCTGCAATAGTCTCCATTGGGAGAGGTACAAAAGTAAAAAAAATACTCACCAAGGTTGTCAACTCCTCTTGGTATGATAACATCAGCATATTTCTTTGTCTTTAAAGGGTCGATAAAAGAGTCAAAGGTTTGACTATGAGTCAACACTCAAAACACACAACAGTGCACAGTTAACATGTGTTACATACGTGTAGAGTAGCACTTACAGGCAGACAGAACTCCTCAAATGCAGGCTTGACAAAAGTGATGTACTGTGCAAGAACACTTTCCAGGTCCCGTCCACGTTCACTTATATCACGCAGCACTGTGGGGACAACGGGACAGGAAGCCCAAAGAGAACATTTTTGAGACTGTCAAGCTGAAAAGATTGATACCACCTGTATATCTTAACAGAAGCTAAATCTAGTTGGTTTAAAGGTCACGTATTATGCAAAATGCACTTTAACATGTTTTTCTAACATCAATATGTGTCCCTAGTATGTCTACAAACCCCCCAATTATGAGAAAATCCATCCTCTCCGTCTTTTACCTAATCCACTTTTCAGAAATGTTTGCTCAAACAGGCCGATTGGAGATTTTCCCTTTGTGACATCACAAAGGGCAGTAACCCCTCCCCCGGCAAGGTGTTTGTTCCGCCCTCTCACCGTAAACAACAGGGCATGGAGCGAGAAATCCCGAATCACATCCCCTTCTAGAGGGGAGTGGCCAACACAGCTCATTAACATTTAAAGCTACAGACACAGAAACAGCCTGTTCTGAGCAGGGCTGAAATAGAGGGGTTTATAGACATGATAAGACTGAGACTTATTTAAACTGGTTAAAAATTAAGATAATGTGTGACCTTTAATCTACAGAACTAAGGTAAAGATGCTTGCTACACAGAAGTATCCTTTTACCCAGTAGTATAGTACAATGTGTTGTTTTATGTACCTTTTCATAAAACAATATAAAGTGTTTTGTGATGAGTTTTATTGTATTGTGGCAAAGCCAGAGGGAATTTTCCCCACAGCTGCTGGCAGTAGCTTCATATTTACTAAACATAAGAGAATAGTATATCTTCTTATCCATTTCTGAGCAACAAAGTTAATGAATAATTTGGACTCTTTGGATGTTTCAGTGTTGTCTATCCTGTGTGTTAAAATAAATCAAGGTATTTGAGTGGTCATGCTTGGATTACTTTACCTCTTCTTGATAGACGTGTATCTGCGTCTGTGTCTACAAAGAGCTTCATTTGGAAAAGGTCTCGGATCTCCTGAGAATAAAACATCAGGATGCCCTCGAACAGCACCACATCAGCAGGGTACACAGTCACTGCGTCCTCCTTCCTGCCACACGAAATATTGAAGAAAAAAACAGAACACATGGAATATGTCACATTTGTGGAAAAAAGCAGCCGTATCGGTAAAAGTTGATAATAACGGCAACCTAAATGATGATAAACTAGAGTCAGAAAAGGTGGGTGACACTCCCACAGCTAGGTGTTCGTTCTGCCCTCTGAGTCTGCCTCCTCACCCTAAACAGTAGGGCATGGAGCGAGAAAGCCCGA